ATATATATATATATATATATATATATATATATTTATAACCAACAAAAATAATCGTTCTTTATTGTTACTACCTCTTTTTGTTTTTTTGTTTTGCAGTTGGAAAGCAGCAAATTATTCAGAATTTTGGGGTAAAACATTGGAACAAGGTGTACGATATCGTTTGGGAACACTATTTCCGGAGAAAAGTGCACGGGTAAAATACACACACAAAAAAAAAATCAGAAAACCGTTTTTTAATTTCTTTTTCTTTTATACTTTATTCTTATTTAAGTTGTCATAACTATGCTTTACATTTCTTTCTTCTGTTATTATCTTTCAACAACAACAACAGCAGCAAGAAGGTACGAAAAAAGAATGATAATAAAAGTTCTAAAATTAACAGAGTATTTTCTTTTTTCTAACCATTTAGTTGTTCAACCAAAATGATTGAAACATTTTGGAAAACAAAGTGCTTTTTTGAAGAAGTTTATACCACATAAACAACTTAATTATTCTGATGTAAAAACAGTTGAACTGTTGCTCTAATTTAGAATGGAACTTAGAATAGAACTGACGTCAACTAGGATTTGATTTTTATTTTGCACTCAATTTCAACAATATTTTCTTAAGCAACAAAAAAGAGAAAGAAAAAGAAAAAAAAAGCCAAAAACGTTGTCTTCAATTAGTTTTTTCTTAGTTTATTCTTTGAAAATTAAGCAGAATTATCAGTTAAAGGTGAAGCAAAAAGACGGTTCTTTAGTTTTTGCTGTCTGTAAAACTGTTGAATAAATGTTCACCGTTTCAGTGTGCAGCATAAATAACAGATAAAGAAAAGCAAAACAAAAAAGAAAAGTAGAAAAAGAAATAAAACGTTTTTGAAAGACGATGACAAAATTTGTTTATTTGGTTTCATTTTGCAGAATATGAATGAAGTGGTAATAAAACCTCGAGAACTTCCGTCGAGTTTTGATGCACGAGAAAAATGGCCAGAATATATTCATGCAGTTCGTGATCAAGGAGATTGTGGAAGGTATTTTTAGAAAGAAAAACCTTTCTTTTTTTTGTATAAAATAACTGTCAAATGCGGAAAGAACAAAAAAAAAGAGAAGGCAAATAGATTCTTAAAACAATGGAAGTGTATACAGATACTGACGTGTCAATAATTTATGCTCGAACAAATTTTTGACTGACATCAGCATAAATTTTCTTTTTCTTTTATTTATTTATTTTTTTTATTAAACTATGTTTCCATATTTTTTATTTCATTCAAAAATTTGTTTTCTTTTTTTGAATTAAATATTTGGGGGTTTTTTTTGGGAGAAAAATGAGGGTGAAAAGTTTTGAAGTGAAGCGGTTAGGAGGCAAAGTATTGTGGGAGGGAAAGTGGTCTGCATTAATGCGGTTGATGACGGAGGTGATAAATCAGTTTTACTTGGTTTAAAACTTATGAGA